TTCCTACATCACACAGCTGTGAAAACAAATGAGATCATATTTGAAAAGTACTTAGAATAGTGACAAATGGTGGTGGTGGTGGGGATGGTACTGCAGCATAATAGCTTCAGCCTCTGCCTGTGGTTGTTAGAGTCCCAGCTACTCCTCTTCGAATCCTGCTCCCTACTATGGTCTGGGAAAGCAGTAAAAGATGGCCCAAGTGCTTCGGCCCCTTCACCCCTTGATTTATAAAGAAAGCACACAACCTAATCATACTGGATTATTTTAAATACTCACAAATGCAAAATAGAGTCATGATTATGTAAATTACTCATACATTTGCAAAAATAAAACTAAAATTTACACAAATACATGCATGCACATATTCATAGATACACAAACAATTTTAAAATAATACTGTGCTCCAAAATTCTAAATCAGTATTATTAATAGCAAATTCTTGGACCAAAGTAACAAGGCCTGAAATGAAACTCTGAATAGTTAGGGTCATGTAAGCTATATAAATTATCTTGAAAGTTACAAATATTCACATTAATAGCTTGATATCTGGTCATAGTGTTCATCCTTGAGAGTAATTTGAGCATTACCATTATGTCTATGAGATAATATAGCAAAATGCAGATGGTTTTAAAACCTAGAATCTTGTATGCCAGGTATTAAGAATGAGCTTTCTTTCTTTAATCAGTTCTCTCACTTTGAAGTTGTACACTTGTTTAATGTGGAATTTTAATCAATTTCTAGTTTTGCTAAATTCCTAGATGGATATTAGCAATGGATTTTATTCACCACTGTGTTTAGTTTCTTCAGCTATTATACTTCCTTAAGGCAATGGCCATGTCTTTCATTAGCAAAGTTTTCATGCATACAACCAGAAATTATTAATCAGACTGAATTGAAAATTGCAACATTAATGGTTTAAAATGTTAATATATGAACGAAGACCAAAGCAATATGTATTGACTTTAATAAAAATCCAGTAATCAAAATGTACAGGCTATGTATTGTTTGCTGAAGACATGGAACCTGTTTTAAGTCTATGTGCTTTATCTGCTCTATATCATTTCTCAGGAATTTTTAATGAAATGGATTGTAAAAGCAACAGAAAAGCAATCCAGCATGGTGAGATAATTTGTGTTCACTCTGTCTACGTTCGGATACTCATTAATCTATAGAGAACAAGTAGTTTCATTAAATTTATAGGTATCACAATTCTTTGATTTAATCCTAAAATCTTAACTGTATATTACATTCTAATATAAACACCTTCTGCAATTGATAAAACAAAATGCAGAATCCGAGGAGTTTGAAATATTCAAACTCAAAAAATTATTGATGATACCTCCTTTCCATTTTTATAATTGATTCTTTATACATATATGAAGAGTAATAGAAAGTAAAGTCTCTGAGTGATAAGTCATTAACTTTTAAGTATAGTTACTGAGTGAAGTTTCAGTATATATGAACATCAGCCACAAAGATCTATATTTCATTCTTTTGGATATAACTATATGTATATAAAATTTTCCCTAACCAATGGTTAGCATTAAAACTGACACATAATTTTCTGTTCTCTCTTTTGTCATATTTAATGTCTATGAAGAAATAAATATTCCAAAGACATCAGCAAATTGTTAGAAAGACTACTTTAAGATATTCAGCATTCAAGTTTCTTTTAACATAATTTTACAACTTCTTCATTATTCCTATTTTAGCCATCCCTGTAACATGTAGTCTTCCAAGTCAAATGCCTGAGTCTCTTCCCCTAATGAAAAGAGTTAATAATCTTGAAAAATAGGCACAGAGAACTATTATGTTTAGGCAGGTTCCTTGCAACTATCTGAGTATTATTGCTGGTCATTTTTTAGCATGCAGCAGAGAAAATTTCTGTACCATGGATCTTTATTGGGAAAAAGGGGAAATTTATATAAATATACTTGTACAAGATGAATTACTCTAGTTAGCTTCACTCTATATTGAAAATACAGTGAAAACCTGTATTAGTTTAGGACTAACAGAGAAGGCAGCCAGTATGAATATGTAGCAATTGAGAATTTTGAAAATTTTAAGGTAAAAATAGTTTTATGCCTCTTCTAAGGTTTTATTTATTTATTTAATGGTTATTGATAAGGCAGAACAACAGATAGAGAGAGAGGGAGAGATAGAGTCTTCCATTAAATGATTCACTTCCCAAATGCCTGCAATAGCTAATGATGATCCAGGCAGAAGGCAGAAGCATAGGTCTCCAACCAGGTCTCCCACATGGGTTGTAGTAACTCAGGTACTGGAGCCATCATCTGCTGCCTCTAAGGATGCATTAGCAGGAAGCTGGAACTGAGGCAGAAATGGGATTCCATGCCAGGCATTTTGATATGGGATGCAGAGTCCCATGTGGGCCTTAACCCAGTGCTCTACTACAAGCAATCAGTTTTAAAAGCTTAAAGTAAACAAACAGAAAAATACTTTAAAGTCCACATTTTAATGCAAAAAAAAAACTTACTAAAGAAACTGATAGAGGTCAAAAAGTCATCTTTTAGAAAACAATTAAAGATACAATGCCAGCGCTGTGGCGTAGTAGGCTAAGCCTCCGCCTGTGGCACTGACATCCCATATGGGCACCAGTTCGTGTCTTGCGGCTCCTCCTCCAGCTCTCTGCTTGTGGCCTGGGAAAGCAGTGGAAGATGGCCAAGTGCTTGGGTCCCTGAACTTGTGTAGAAGACGCAGAGGAAGCTCCTGGCTCCTGGCTTTAGCTCGACTAGGCTCCGGCTGTTGCGGCCGTTTGGGGAGTGAGCCAGCAGATAAAGTCCATTATCTCTGTCTCTCCCTCTATCTGTTACTCTGCCTCTGGAATAAATAAATACAAAATATTTTTTAAAAAGATAAGAATAGAAACGTAATTTTATTAGCAGTATCAGTTCAATGAAATATATTTGTAATCGACAAATTTTTAAAAAGGAGTTTAAATCTTCATCCATGAAATCTTACTTATATTATCCAATTAGTGAAAAAGTATTTTAAAGATACTGTAAAAATAAACATTAGCTTGGTTTATTTTTTAAAGGCAAATGAATTTTTTAAACTTTTACATATGAAAGATATGCGGTATTTGTTTTCTGTGTCTGGTTTGTTTCATTTGACTATTATAATAGTCTCCAGTTTTATCAATTTTTGTTGCATATGTCAGGATTTAATTTGGTTTTTCTGCTGAATAGTATACCATTGTATATACACTACATTTTCTTTATCTAGTCTTTCCTTGATCAACACTTAGGTTGATTCCATAACTTGGCTATTGTGAATAGTGCTGCAATGAACACAGTAGTGCAGGTGTCTCATATGCTGATTTCATTTCCTTCAGATATATACCCACATGTGGGATACTTGAATCATATGGTAGATCTATTAGTTTTTTGGGAAACCACCATACTTTTCTCTGTAATGACTGTACTAATTCACATCCCCACCACCACTCTTTTCTCCACATCCTTGCCAATGTTGAAATATTGCACTATACCCCATAAAAATGTAAACATACGTTAATCAAAAAATTTTTAAAAATTCTTAAAGGAAAATTAAGGGGCCAGTGTTGTGTTGTGTGCTATGCTGGCACCTGTAACACTGGCATCCCATATGGGCACCAGTTCTTTTCCTGGCTGCTCCACTTCTGATCCAGCTCCCTGCTAATGACCTGGGAAAAGTAGTGGAACATGGTCCAAGTCCTTGGGCCCCTGTCACCCAGGTGGGAGACACGGATGAAGCTCCTGGTTCCTGGCTTCGGCCTGGATCAGCCCTTGAGGCCATCTGGGCAGTGAACCAGAGGATGAAAGGTATCTTTCTCTCTCTCTCTCTCCCCCCCCTTCCTCCCTTTCTTTGTAACTCTTTCAAAATAAATACATGAATCTTTTTTCAAAAATTCAAATAAATACAATCTGCATTAATCATTTTATATTATTGGTTCCCAGAATGTTAGCCATATGTGTTATCTTCATAAAGTTCATGAAAAATTTGTACCATGAAAAAATTTTACATGGTTTGTTAAAGTGTTTTTGAAGCAAAATAAACTTATATTTTAACTATATTTTCCATGAACTTTTTGATGTACCATCATACTCCTTTTCACAGAGCAGTTCTACATAAAACTTCAAATGAATTTAAGGCTGATTTTGAACTATTTCTACTGTACTCCTATTAATGTAGATAACTAAGGATTTATAAAGTCTTCTGATATATTTAGTCTTCTGATCATTTTTACTTACTCAAAGCTTAGCAATCGTTCAGTTCCATTGTTATTAATAGTTTTATACATCATGTAATAAACTATGTTATGTTATTCATGGATCATCTAATTACTTCTCTCTAAATAAATCTAAGATATGGCATCAACATTTAACTAAAATATATACCTGAGAAATTTGACTTTTTCACAATTGTGAAGCAGTTTGCCTAAGAGACAGTGCCTTCTCCAAATAATTTGAAAATATTAACTACATAGATCTTTTTTAAGATTTGAAGTCATTGTTAAATTTATTTTTAATTGACATAAAATTGTATTTATTTATCATGTACAGCGTGATGTTTTGAGTTATATATACATTTTAGAACTATGTGAAGTAATGTTTATGTTAATTTACAATAGATTCCTAGTTGATAAAATTCCAAATGTTAAAGTAATAACAAATCTGAAGACATGTTTTTGCAGTTCAATTAAGTCTATCTTAGATATTGTTATAACAGCTTATAAATCTTTCATTTATAATCTCTGCATCTGCATGTTTAACAGTTTCTTTTATTATTTACATTTTATATTTAAGTACTTCTGCAATGATGTTCAAAATTTGCTCCTTCTTAGCCTTCCTAACTACAGACGCTGAATTCAAGATGTAATGTTGGAATGAAGTGTTCAAATGGCAATTCTATGCCAGTAGAATTGTGTAGTTATTTTTACAAGAAACTGTAGTCGTTTTTTTTCCTTGACACCTCTATGTCTTTTATTTCTTACACAGAGCTGGGTTATAGTTTTCTGGTATACGGAGAAAAGTTTGAAAGAGCAAAAATCAACGGGGAGAGACTTCTTAACATTACACAAGAAAAACTTAATGAACTTGGCATAATCCGGCCTGACCACAAGGATATAATATTAAAAGCAATTGCTTCTGTTTGTAAAGAGGTGAGTAGAGAGATGTGTTCTTATAGTCCCTGTCTTTCTAACTAGTAAAAATTACTTAAAGCCGAAAAGTGTGCCTTGCTTGCAACATAGTTTAAAGTAAATTGCAGTTTTTCACCTTTCCAATTCACAGGTAATTACAACTGATATGGTCTCCATTTACTATGCTTATAAGTTTAGGTGGGCCCCCTTCATAGCAGTATTTGAATCTTGGTTCTGTGTGCAATGGTTGCTGTTTCTTATTCTGCCTTGGGGATGATTTATCCCATAATTTTTGGAAAACTTATGTATATTCTACCTGAATCATTTTTTTTTTCAATAAATTAAAGCCAGAGGTGGAGATTCTAGGGAATTCACTTAGAAAGTCCTATATAATCAAGGGAGAGAAAGGATTGCTTTATCTGCTGAGACTAAAAAGAAACAAAAAATAACAAGAGAAATATCAGGATTAGACATGACATTCTAGACAAGTATTTTTTGCACCTAGAAATAGAGGTGCCATTTTAAATAATAATCAAGTCAACCTAGAACTCAATAGTAAATGTTGTATAAAGAGACATTTAGGGGCCTACACTGTAGCATAGAAAGTTAAATCTCCACTTGCAGTACTGGCATCCCTTATGAGCACCTGTTCCATTCCTGCCTGCTCCACTTCTGATCCAGATTCCTACTAATGCTCCTGGGAAAGCAACGGAAGATGGCCCAATACTTCGTCCTCTGCACCCATGTGGGAGACCTAGAAGAAGCTGCTGTCTCCTGGCTTGGGCTTGGTCCAGCTCAGAGCCATTGTGGCCATTTAGGAAGTGAAACAGTGGATAGAAGTTATTTCTCTCTCTCTGCCTGTCAAATAAATAAATAAATCTTTAAAAACAGGAGAGAGAGACATCTAGAACTATAAAACAAATCATATTTATGGGCTGTGAATATGCTAAAATCCACCAGCCATTCAACAAACATTTAGATGAAGACCTTTAATTACCTGAGTAATTCATATAATACCATATGTCTAACTGTGTTTAGTAAGCTTCACTCCCCACATATTCATTTGACAGGCTTAAGAATAATTTATTTGTAATAGATTTTGCAGTATTCCAATATGCCTTATCTCTTTTGAATAAATTTTGTTCTCATGTTTTTTCTTTTTTTTACTGTTAGGTGTTTTTATTTATTTTTAAAATTTTATTAATAGAAAGAGAACAGATTTTCAGCATTCCATATATACAATTCCAAGAAGACAATAACATCTCTCTCCTCTTTTTCCCCTAATCCCTCTCCCTCACACCTCTCTCTTCATCAGTTTTAGCAAAGATATAATTTTAATCTACTCTATATTCACAGGCTTAATTAACCACTAATCTTAATATCCAACAAGTAAAAAGCAAGAAGACCACAGTTCTACTGGAGTATAGACAAGGATTAAAAATGACAATCATATCCCCAGATGACCTTTTCATTACTATACATGTTTTGGTAGTCTCTATTAACTACCACATACCAGAGAAAACGTTTATTTGTGTTTTTGAGACTAGCTTATTTCAGTAAGCGTAATGTTTTCCAGTTGCCCCCACTTTGTTGCAAAGGACAGTATTTCATTCTTTTTTATGGCTGAATAATATTCCATAGTATATATATACTAAATTCTTTTAGCCCCTCAAGTGAGTACATCTGGGTTGATTCCATATCTTAGATCCTCTGAATTGAGCTTCAACAAACATGAAGATACAAATAACTCATCAATGTACTATTTCTTTTTGTTTAGGTAAATTCCATTGAGTGGGATGGCTGGGTCATATGGCAGATCTATTTTCAGATCTCTGAGGAATCTCTATACTGTCTTGCATAATGGTTGTACTAGTTTACATTTCTACCAACAACCTTCCACTTTTTCTATAAGGATACTGTACTCTTTACAAATAAAGTTTATATGTATCTTTTCATTTCCCTTTATATTCTTGTTAGACTTTAGAAGACTGTGAGAATATGTGTATTTGATAACACTGAGTATCCTCTTCAGTTAGGTATTCAACTGAGACTATGGCAAGCACCATGAGAATCCTTGCACATTCCTTGAACAAAATGACTGTGCTGGTCATGGAGGCTTCAGTCATAACAATAGTCACCTAGATTATTTAAGCACTGGTTTCTTTCTCTATAGAAAAATTGCTATTGGTTATATCAAGAGTTCAAGTAGTTGTTTCCCCCAGAGTAGGATACCATTGTAAAACATATGATGGTGGAAAAACTCTAACAATATCAATTTCTCTCAACTAACTAGCTATTCTCTAAAATATTTGTTATTAAAATTCAGTAGTTCCGTAGTAATCTCATACATTAATTTTATTACTATGCTACCTTGCTATTCATTCTGCAACAATGTGTTTGAGTTTCAAGGGAATTGTTTTTGATGAAAAGGAAAAATGAGTTATAATGCATAAATTGGTTCTTCTGTCAAATTTATTCAGGCATACAGGAGCTTGAAGATTTTAATAACTTAGATCCTTTAAATGTTTCATAACTATGCTTGTATCTTATTTGGGATGTGTCTGACTAAAGATACTTCAGACTGTTAGCCAATGCTATAACTTATTGCATTGAATTTAAAATGCTATCATTGGTAAGATGTGCCACTATTTAATTTACCACTAAGAAAGAAAATAATCCTACCCAGCCTACCAATTACATTTTCTCAGTGCTGTTTTACCACAAGGATAAGAAATCAAACTCTGATTTTAGAGACTTTAAAATACCCTCTCAAGTAAATAAAATATGGTTTTATGAAAGTCTATCCAATCCTAAGGTATAGTGTGTAGTATTTTTGAAGATCAAACTGAAAAGGCATACATATCCCTAGAGGTCATATTGAGATGAGTTTTTATATAGCAAGTTGATCAATGACTTGTGGTAAGACTATTATGAATCAAATCCTAAAAATGAACCAAATATCATAAAACATCTTTTCTGGACATTTGGGGTTCCAAGAATGGAATAGTAATAGTTCTATTAGAAGAAAATTTCCAAAGATAATGTTAACTAGAAATAATCAGATACAAAAATGATCAGGGGACTGGCTGTGAAAAACAAATGAGAGTGGAAATAAATATAGATATAAATTTTAGTGCTTCCATGGAGAGGAGAAACTTGAAAAATGAGAGGAGACCTAACAACAATTAGGGAACATAGCCATATTACAGGGCAAATATTTGAAGGCAGAAATCCTTTAGAATTTCTTTTTAAAATATTTATTAATTTTCATCTGCTTGAAAAGCATAGAGAAGAGAGAGAGAATCTTCCATCTGCTAATCCACTCCTCTAATATCCATGACATCCAGGGCTGAGCTAGGCCAAAGTCAGGAACAAGGAATTCTGTCTAGGTCTCTCACAAGGGTAACAGGGGCCCAAGCACTTGAGCCATCTTCTGCTGTCTCCAGGATGCATTAGCAGGAGCTAGATCAGAAGCAGAGCAGTGAGACTCAAATTGGTACTCTGTTGTGGGATACCAGTATCACAAGCAGTGACTTACTCCACTGTTATATCACTATAACACAGTGACTTACTCCACTGTGCCACAATGCCTGCCCCCAGAATTTCTTTACTTCCGAATAGAAAGTTAATATACAGAACACATACATGTAGATATTAAATATATCATAAAAGAAAATGAAAAAACAAGCATAAACAGTAAGGAATTATTTTAGCAGACTCTGTATTTTATAGGATTTAAATATAACTTGTCAGAGGATGGAAGACTCAGCCTTTGAGATTAAGTTTTGATATGTATCACCATACAAAGTGATAATGAAAATCTTGTAATAATAGCTAAGCTTTCTCATGAGGGGAGTTTTGATGGCAAAGATCAGAAAAGTTAAGTTGGAGACTTTGAGATAATATTAATAGTAATACTTTGTACTGTGTAGCAATGAGTGGGTTTTTTTTTGTTGTTGTTGTTGTTGTTTTTTTTTTTTTTTTTTTTTTTTTTGGACAGGCAGAGTTAGACAGTGAGAGAGAGAGAGACAGAGAGAAATCTTTCTTCCGTTGGTTCACCCCCCAAATGGCTGCTACAGCCAACGCACTGTGCTGATCCGAAGCCATGAGCCAGGCGCTTCCTCCTGGTCTCCCATGCCGGTGCAAGGCCCAAGCACTTGGGCCATCATCCACTGCCTTCCCGGGCACCTCAGAGAGCTGGACTGGAAGAGGAGCAACTGGGACAGAATCCGGCGCCCCAACAGGGACTAGAACCTGGGGTGCCGGCGCCGCAGGTGGAAGATTAGCCGAGTGAGCCGTGGCGCCGGCCATGCAATGAATCTTTATAAACTACTATCTCATGTTTTAGTCTGATATTCACAGCAACTTGGAGAGACAAGAAAGGAAGATAAGGGATAAAAGTTATGCCCATTTTATAAATGAGGAAACTGAAAGTCACAAAGTTTAATTGCATTGCTATTTGTTTGCTATGGATCTAGATCTAGAATCTGGTCTTCTTATGTCCTAATAAAATCAGAAAGCAAAGAGTGAAAATATGTGAAAGAGAGGATTAATGAGAAGGTTCTAGAGGGTATCAGAAGGACCAGGAGATCAGTAGAATTTAAGAGAGACATGTCTTAAAAAAAGTAAAAAGACTTTGTCACCAGGGTCAAATATAACAGAGGGAGAAGTTTATATCACAAAGTAGGAGCAATGAAATTTGAGACAAAATATTTCCCACTTTAAAAGTGAAGTATGAAATGTATGAAACTTGTACAACTTAAATAAAATAAAATAAAAAGTGAAGTATATATGACAAGTTAAGCTATGTTAATCAACCATAACAAATTTATCTATAAAACTTCTTCTATGCCCTTCTTGAATCTATGATTTACTTTATGGATTATCATTATTATGTTTGTGTGTTTAAAATGAGCTAAACAAAGGGTAAGAATTGTTGAACATTCTCACCATGTTCATCTGTGTTAAAAAAATAATATCATAAATTAATAAAAATCTTAGTAGGGAGGCTGGTGTTCTGGCACAGTGAGTTATGCCAAGCTTATGATTCTGGCTTCTTATATTTGGGGCATTGGTTCGAGGCTTGGCTGCCTGCTTCTAATCCAACTTCATGCTAATGCACCTGGCAAAGCAGCCAATGAAGGCCCAAGTGCTTATGCCCCTGACACCCATTTAGGTGAACCAGATGAAGTTCTTGGCTCCCACACGTGACTGACCCTGTCCTGGGTTTTGTGGCCATCTGGGAAGTGAACCAGCAGATAGAAGATTTCCTCTTCTCTCTCTCTCTCTCTCCCCACCCTCCCCAGATGATCTGCCTTTCAAACACATAAATAAAAAGGAAACAAGAAATCCAATTTTAAAAAGAGAAAAACCTTAGTCGGGCAATTATTTCTTTTGCAGCAAGTTTCTTCTTTCTTGAGAGATAAAGAAGCATATACTGACAGATATGGGTGTACAATCACTCGTTAAAAATTATATAGCTCCAAGCAGTCAAGAAATACTCAGTGGTTTGTTACCAAAGCACAAACTTGAAAATAGATTTTTGTGAATTTACTGTTTTTGCTATTAGTTTTTCTGTTCTTTTTGAGCTAGTCACAAGAAATAGTACTAAGAATGATATCAAAAGAAACAGCAAATTATTGATACGCATTTAACCATGTGAAAACAGTACATTAATTTGGATATGTATCAAAATGGGTATTTACTGAGGTTTTGTTCCAGTCAATATGCTTCATATAACTGAAGCTTAAGTTCTGTGAAAATAATTACTGACAAGTATAAGGTAGTATCATTGTAAGTAGAAATTCAGTTCTATCACAGCAAGGACTTATCTCCCACAGAGGAGTCTGGAAAATTATTTTTTTGGAATGAAATAATAAGCATTAATTGAACTTCAACTCTTCAATATTTCCTGTTTGTATCAAAGATCACTGCAATTACTGTTAGTGCCATTTGGGGATTATGGGGAGCCTTTTCAAGGATATACAATTGATCATCTAGTAAAAATAGCAATTGGAAGTAATCAGTAGGAATTTTTTTTCAAATATAGAAATTTAAAAAGCGTAAGATAAATTTTATTTCAGAGAGTCCATGTTATAATGCAAACTAATCAGATTTAACTTTTATTATGAGGAATATTAAATTATTTCTATGTTCTTTTCTCAATGTGTCTTTGACCTAGCTCATGCTTAAATGTGAGGCAGAATCCTTCACTATAACAATAAATTTAAGTCATGACCTCTTTTATAGAACATGTCATAAAGTATGAGCTAATAGTTTATTTTATGGATTATTTTCTTGCCTCTGAGAATTTCAGAAAAAGATGAAATAAAATTATATTTTTATGTCACAATTCCTCAGTTTTTTGTAATATCTTCTAAATTTTTAGGCTTGCAATAGAATATGGACATTGTAAAAATTCATTTTCTCATATTGTTGCTCTTGAAATATTGAGTAAATTGATGTAAAAAAGTCTATCTTGACTTTCATAGTAGAATTATTTCATAAAGCACGCTTAAAAATTCCAATGAAGTGAGACAGTCAAGGAATATTTTCAGTTACACAGTCTATTGTTTCCTTCCTCAACCCAATGAAATGTAGAGATTACCATACAGCTTCTTTTAAAAATATATCCAGTTGCTTCTTAGTCCCACATTGCCATAACAAATGGTTTTAAGTTGTAACTATCCTAGAAAAATGGAATGTCATTTAAATGACAGCAAAGCAGATGTTTTACTGTACAACATTTGAAAGAAATGATCAGTAACTGACTCTTTGGTTTCAAGATTCAACTCACTGAAGTTAATTTACCTGCACTGAACTCTTTGGAGATTATCTAACAAAAAATTTTAAAAATCTTTATTTCCCACCTCAGGCACATAAATCTTTCTGGCACATGCAGATTTTTCATTAAAATTTCTTTCATTACTTCTTTCTCGGTAAAATGGAGTTAGATTTTAATAGCTCTAAACAGATTTACTACAAAATAAGCCCTCAGTTTGTTATTTACTTAGTTCCCCAGAGCAATGTATTAATGAATGGTACAGGGAACCATAATTATAATGAATGAAACAGATCTTTAAGTGTAGGTAGGAAAGTACTTAGATATTAAAATAAATGTGTTGGAGCATGATAATGGGAAAGATAGGCTTTATAGTTTGATATGGCTTATGAATGCAAATTGGGCATAGCTTTACTATGTCTTCTGTTATATCATGGTTATGAATAGCTAATTGCATATTCTAAAATATTACCTGTTTCACTTTGTCTGTGTTCTTTTCTTCATTAAATATCATTATGTTAAAATTGATCTAACCTCATTTCTGGTATAGTTATGCTTTCTTACAGAGAGCAACACATTTTCATGTTGTTAACTTTTACAATTTTTGTTATTCCTTCTCATCTGAATATGTTTGCAGATTAAGTTCATCTTCCAGTATTTCTGTTCTTCAACATTTTAGTAGAAAAATCCTTAAAAATATATAAAGCCCTGAAATCCAGCTAACCTTATCCTTTCAGTCTGTCTTCTACAATCTCATTTTCTAGTTTTATTAATAGAATTTGAAGTTAAATATAAGGTTCTAAGATGTGTAATACCAAAAACAATGCCTGACCAACTGTTTGACTAGATATCTGGTTCCATAGTGGCAGATTGTGTAGTAGGCACAAAGTCAGAGAAATTATGTTACTATCTCACTAGGTGATTTATTACTCTCATAGCCTATATAGCAGGAAGTTCCTCAAGTTCATTCATAATTATTTAAATTTCCCAAATTTTAGCTGGTTGATTTTTATATTGACTCTGAGGTAAGTTACAGTTGTGATGGGGGACTTGAACTATTTGGACAGCTGCTGGAAATGTCATTCTATTAATAGCAAGACATGTGTCTGCCTATGCCTACCATTCCCTTCATTACTACTTACTAGCTATAAGATGACATGGTATCTCTCTGACAAGGCTTCTATCACTTCTAAATAGTTATTTATTGTCAAAATTTGGACCAGAGAAACTGTTCTTAAAATGGTTTCCTTTTCTGAGAAATGAAATTGCCAAAGGTTCAAGTCTCCAGACTCAGGTGAATTTTATCTCTGGATATGGGGGTGGGAACTGAAAAACATAGTATTTCAGAAGCAGCATCCGTAGTCTTGAATAAGAGACATGCCAGAAATTTGGAGGTAGGACCTTTTGTATCATAAAGATCTGTTTTACATACATAGTTTTTCAGAGTGTAAATAGTGTATAAGAGATAGACATACTGATTGTATATAAATATAGTCACATGGATTATAGATGATTGAATAACTGAACTGAAATGTTGATTAATACATGAAACTTAATTGAAGTAAAACACACTGTATAAAACTTACACACATAGATCATCTTTGTTTTTTAGCTCTTCTTTTTAAAATCCATTTATTTTCTTCCTTGGCTGTATTTTCTTCATAAGTCATATTGTTTTTTTTTTCTCTTTAGAACAAAGTTGCAGAACAAGTTATGCAAGGAAAAGATCAGGTAAGAAACAAAAGAAGTAACAAAAAATCTATTGTGGAGAATGAAATAAAAATATAACACTAAGTACCTAAGTATGATGAGATGGGTGTGCTCAAATTTAGTATATTTTTATGATTCAACAAATAGTTAATATGTTTATTGGTGATTACTATTAACAGCTGCCTGTTATGTGGAGAAAAGTGGGTCAAATAGGATCTTTTCAGTATACCAAATATCCAGATGGAGACATCTGGATGACTACTTGGTTCACTTTGCATGGGGACTATTTAATGCTGCTTCTGTAAACTTTCTAGCATCTGATCTCTTTTGGCCACAAGCCTTTGAATGTCATGGTGGTTGGATACATCGTCACCTCCCTTCTCTTCCATACTGCTTAAACTGTGTGTGTGCATGTATGTGTATGTGTGTGTCTGTGTATTTGATAAGGTGTATAAAGTTGTTCAAGTTATTCCTGGACAAGAATGAGTTATTTCATGTTTTTGCTCCAGTATCAAATTGTTTCTAATAGAAATTATTTATATTTTTCCAGCTTTTGTTTACCAGAGAATTCTTACCATTAATTTACCATTGTAGTAAAAATGCATTTTGCGAGTAGAGACACTGAGGATTTATAAAAACATGGATATATTTCATCAAAGAAATATTGATTTATCCATTTTTAGTGACAGTAGAGAAAAGAATCTAAATATTTTTAAGCAAGGCAGATATGAAAAGCAGACCTATTTGTAAATTGCCTTGTAGGCAATACACTTGGTATAGACTGTATGTGTGAGTTCACAATGTAAGAAATTTTAAAAACTATGTCAATATCATACTTGGGAGGGTGAAACGGGATATATAAATGCTCAATTAGAAAACCTGAAGATCCATTATTAAGAGTGAATAAGATAAATATTGTCAACTTAGCCTAGGTTATGAACAATTTCTCTGTTTAGTCATTTATAATGATTAGCACTTGCTTGAGGTCTGAGATTCTTGGAGAGTTACATATTTTCTGGTTTTAATCACCTTCAACCTATTGTTACAGTATCCATTTTAGTATCTATGTTAGTTCTCAATAGGAAAATACAAATATATAGCAAATGTAAGTGTTGTCAAATTCAAAATTCTCAAGTGAAATTTTACTGAAGTGCTGTTTTGAGCTAATTTTATTTCAAGCTGTCATGTTAATTTATCCACAGATAAGTCTGGTTGTTGTAAAATACTTCTTTGTTTTTTAATTCAAGTATGCTATAGGAAATGCCTTCAATTAGTTGGCATATGACGAACTCAAATAAATCACATTTTAAAATTGTTCAGTTGAGTGGTTCAAAATGCTGGCTTTGAAGTTAAGCTGCCTGGGTTTACATTCGAGGTAACACTAGCTGTATGATCTGGTTCACAAAGGTAGATCAGAGTTATGCTGCTTTAACTGATATATGAAGATAATAACAATGCTAAAAATTGTTGTAAATATTGATTGAGAAAATTAACATTATTTTTTATTGTACACAGAGCTGAGAAAATGTTACCTACAGCTTTTATTTCTCCCCCTCTTCCCTTTGTTCTTCTTCATTTTCCTTCTTCTTCCTTCTTTCTTTCTCCTCCTCCTCCTTATTATTGTTGTTGTTGTTATTATTATTATTATTATTCAAGAGTTGTTTCCACTGTCTCCTGGCTCTTAGCTCTAATTTACACTAATTCTGTCAGAATAATTTTTCTTTGGAATTATCTTTATCAGAATACTCCCTTGTGCTAACTCCCTTGTGACTTGACAGAACCAAATCAGACTGTTAAATCTACCATTAAAGGCCCTTCATGAATTTAATACCTATCTGTAATGCTAGCTAGCTCTACAATTCATTTTTCAGCATTCTTGTCTTTCCTACTTTGTTTCAGGCAATCAAATCCTCTTGCTGTTGCTGGTCAAAAACAACAGGTGGTAGGAATGGAAAGGAAAGAAGACAAACTATTTTGAAAATTTATGACAGTAATAATAAAAGCAATAATATTAACAGATCGCATTTACATAGAACATTATTTTTCCAAAGCCCTCATTATATAGAAATATACAAAAGTATATTTCAAGATAATTTATCACACACTCATACATAAAATTTCAGACTTACAAAATATTTTTTGAATCCTTCCCTGCCTGGTGTTTTTCCTCACCCAGACAAGGCCAAGGGTTTTGCTGTCTAAGTCAACATGCATATATGATTTGTACATTTTTGAGATAATAAAACAGGCCACAGGGGATCTGTTCTCAAAGAGAATTCCATAAAATTTCCCATAAGAGACAGATTAGTGGATTCGGAACTAATGGTCAACTCCATATAAGTGTATTGTGGATAAGACTCTTGAAACAGGAATTTATGAGGATGAGTCACAAATAAAAGAAGAATCTGAGCAAAGGAACAGAGGTTGGAAAGCACAATACGTGTTTTAGAGATAGTACAAAGCAATAAACTTTCCTATATGGATGGAAAAGAAGATTAGTTGGAGAATCAATGTGGATGTCTCTAATGCTTTGGAACTCCATAAATAGAAGTTGTGGAGAAGTCAAATTCTAATACAGGGTCCTAACCCCTTGACTCATGAGGCCAAAGAGACTACTATTGGCTTTGTGCCCATGAGTTTTGGTAAGTTTCTGTTTCCACATGGTTTGGTTTTTAACCATATCCCAAAAGAAAGGAAAACACTATCATCTTGGCTTTTGTCATGTGTCAAAACTCTTAGGTTTATTATTACTCTTGGAAGATGTGACCTTTTTAGATGGCAAGAGCTTTGTATTTCCTAATTTTTTAGGTATGATAAATGAAAATGGATGAAAAGAAAAGATACTATTCCAGAAAATGTTTAACAATTGTTATCTGTAAAAACACATATGATATATAGATATAAATAAGCCGTGGCTCACTAGGCTAATCCTCCACCTTGCAGTGCCGGCACACTGGGTTCTAGTCCCGGTCGAGGCGCTGGATTCTGTCCCGGTTGCCCCTCTTCCAGGCCAGCTCTCTGCTGTGGCCAGGGAGTGCAGTGGAGGATGGCCCAAGTGCTTGGGCCCCGCACCCCATGGGAGACCAGGATAAGTACCTGGCTCCTGCCATCGGATCAATGTGGTGCGCAGGCCGCAGTGCGCCAGCCGCGGCGGCCATTGGAGGGTGAACCAACGGCAAAGGGAAGACCTTTCTCTCTGTCTCTCTCTCTCACTGTCCACTCTGCCTGTCAAAAAAAAATACTTATGAGCAAGTATATATATATATAAACTTGTACTGATATTAAAGATGTAAAGCACATAAATTATAGATAATAATAAAATGTATAATATTCTGCATTATAAATATCATATAGGCAATTGATTCTCAGGGATCTTTCACTGATTTTTGACTAACATAGTCAACTGTGCTTGTAATAAACAAGTAAGCATAATTTCATCATGAATGGTATATGATATTTTTGTTTACATTAATGACAAAAAAACAGTGAAACAAGGAATATGTGAGATTAAGGTACACTCATTGATCAATGATGTGGATTACTTTCTTGTTAAATCATGATAGTTTTTGAAATTCAGACAAATATTTCTTCAGCTTTTTGTGTAATTCACAATAGCTACAGACAGAACAGAATTACACTTCTAAGTTTAATCCATGTTATGACATATCTTCAACACTGTACTAAACCAAGTTAATCAATGAAACAATAAATCAATCACTTATTTGTGTTGTTTATCAATATCCATGGTTTAAACATTCACTTTATGGCTGATTTCAAGCTACCAAGTTGATGAATGTGAGAAGAGATATAGAGTAGCAAGTAGCCCTACAGATAAAATAGATATGAATGTCTCAAGGGTTCAGATAATAGTTAAATGTGGTAAAATAATAAGAATGTTGTAGGTTTTGAACACTTATTAATATCTTAAAATTGTATCTTAGACAGAAATCTTCTATCTACGAGTTCAAACACCCACTTCCATCCCACCTGCACCTACTCAAAATCAAATGCCCACAACAGCCAGGGCGAGCCAGACAGAAGCCAGGAGCCGAAAAGTTAATCTTGGTCTCCTATGTGGGTGACAGGGACTCAACTACTTGAGCCATCGCCTGCTGCCTGCCATGGTGTGCATTAGCAGGAAGCTGAAATCAGTAGCAGAGCTGGGACTCAAACCCTGGCACTCTGATATGGGATGAGGCCATGGTGGTTTCACTGCTAGGCCAGACATCCAAACTTTGTTTTTTATATGATCTGTTTATTGTTAATTTTATTTATTTATTTTTTGACAGGCAGAGTTAGACAGTGAGAGAGAGAGACAGAGAGAAAGGTCTTCCTTTGCCGTTGGTTCACCCCCCAAATGGCCACTACATCCGGCGACCTACACCAATCTGAAGCCAGGAGCCAGGCGCTTCCTCCTGGTCTCCCATGCGGGTGCAGGGCTTAAGCACTTGGGCCATCCTCCACTGCACTCCCGGGCCACAGCAAAGAGCTGGACTGGAAGAGGAGCAGCTGGAACAGAATCCGGCGCCCCAACCGGGACTAGAACCCAGAGTGCTGGCACTGCAGGTGGAGGATTAGCCAAGTGAACTGCAGAGCCGGCCAATTTCATTTATATTTTAAAGATTTATTTATTTATTTGAAAGAGTTACAGAGAGGCAGAGAGAGAGAGAAAGAGAGAGAGAGAGATCCCCATCCACTGGTTCACTCTCCACATGGTAACAACAGCCGGAGCTGCACCAATCCGAAGTCAGGAGCCAGGAGCTGCTTCCAGGTCTCCCACGCAAGTGCAGGGGCTCGAGGACTTGGGTCATCTTCTACTGCTTTCCCAGGCCGTAGAAGAGAGCTGGATCAAAAGAGGAGCAGCCGGGCCTTGAATCGGCACCCATATGGGATGCCAGCACTGCAGGCTGAGGCCCCACCTGCTACACCACAGCGCCTGCCTCAATTTTATTTATTTTTAATAACTGCTGTTTAACAAATGAATTTCAAAATTTCTGACATTTTAACATCTTCCTCTAGAA